GAGCCAGCGTGAGGCTGAGCATCCCGGGCATTTCCAGCCAGCGCCCGCCAGCAACCCGGCACTGATTGAAATTTAGGCATCTTCAGAGAGGGGAGGAAGATCCTCATCTTCCGAAGCCTCCTCAATGAGTGCCAAGCTCTCCAAGGAGTTGAGGCTGTCCCTGCCACCTTGTCTCCTGAACAGGACATCTGCCACCTTAAACGCCAGCAGCACCTGCATCACGCAAGTGGGTCAGCTCTTTCAGTCCTTCTCATCCACACTGGTTTTAATTGTCCTGGTCACCCTCATCTTCTGCCTGATCCTCCTCTCCCTTACCACCTTCCACATCCACAAGAGGAAGATGAAGAAGCGGAAAATGCAAAAGGCGCAGGAGGAGTATGAACGGGACCACTGTGCCCGCAGCAGCAGTAGCAGCAGCCAGCACCCTGGGACGGGGGTGCAGGGAGAGGCCCCCCAAGGAAGAGACAGCCGGCTGGGAAGAACCCCCCAGGACTTGGAGATTCAGCGCCCCTCTCCCTCAGCAGCCCCAGGCTCCCAGCAAGCACGGGCTTGTTTGGACACAGCTGGTGTGGGTCTCTTGCAGACGGTGATTTTGTCATGATGGTTTGGGGGAGACCTCACGAAGGCGCTGATTGGTGTTTGTAAATACCTGAGTGATTATTCTAGTCCCTGAAGAAGAAGAAAACATTGCTAATTCAAACGAATGAACAAGCTCACGATCCAAGCGCATGACAGATCACATTGCGTTTCTCATTGACTGTGCAAGGAAAGGATGCATCTTTTTACTGGAGAAGGAGCTGCACACAGCTACCAAATATCAAGTCGTCCACCTGGAGGAGAGGGTCGGGGCGGGGGGGGTGTCCTTTTTCCCTGAACTTCCTTACCGTGAGGACAGGGATGATCCCACTGTCTTGGGATTCCCGCTGCACCCTGTGTCACCATTGCATGGAGTGGCTTGGGGCATGGGTGAGTGGCGCGGGGGGAGAGGCAGGTCTGGTGGGTCCCTTGGGACTCCCTGTCCCCTTGGAGCAGGGTGACAGCCTACTGTGGTCTCTCCTTTTGTGCTAGGACCTATGCCCCTGTTCCACCCCTCTCGCTCCTTTCCAGGACTGTATATTCTTTTGTGTAGAAATGGCCACCCAGAGTTGAGCTTAACTGCAAGTACCCTCCAGCCTCATGACCCCGTGCCCCCCAGCTGCAATGCTGAGCATCCACTGTCTGGGGAGATGGATGGAGCTAGCTGTCTGCACAGAGTGGTGCTTGAGATTTCCCTTCCCCTCAGCTCCCTTCATCTTCAAATGACCCCCCATCCCCATCCCCATCCCCAAGACACCTGAAGCCCAGCCCCAGTACTGTTTTGGAAGGGTGAGGTGATGTGCAGCAACTTGCCTGTCCTCTCCCAGGGGAGGGTGTCCTTGTACCTCCTCTTGGTCCTGAAACAAATCCAGTTCTGCACCAAGCATCCCGCACTGAACGCCTGCGTTTACAGCTTTGCCTCCAAGCAAGGAATCCTGCAGCACTACGAAGCTGGCTTCTACTTTTTTAGGCTGATATATCTTTTTAACCCTCCTAATCTAGTAGACAGTTAGGGACAAAAACCACTTAATTTTCTTCCCTTTCCTCTTTTTGGGAACAAACCATGCAGTTGTGCAAAACATTCGCTCCTAAACCCTGGCAATTATTTATTTTGGAAGTCGCTGGTGTAGTCTCTCCATAGCAAGCACGAGGACTTTTTTTGTCTGTGGATGGCAGGTGTAGGTGGCTGCTAGTACGTGCTGTGTGTGGGGGGGAAAGCAGTGTTGGGTACAGAAAAGTCAGCTTTGATGAGCAATTAAATCAATGACCATTACTTGAAGGTGCCTTAACAGAGTGCCATATCCAAACTTTGAAACATCTGGTGTGGTATGAGAGCAGAGGCAGCCCTCTGCTGTGCATATTAACAGCTAAAAAATACAGCAAAGAAAAGTGATCCTGAGGGATTTCTTTTTTTTTTCTTATCCCGGCATTCAAAGTGATCTGAAGAGATAGTAATAGTCCACATTCTAAAATATTTTGTATCTGCTTACTCCCTCTGTGCTGTACGTTGCCTCCCAGGGTGGCTGTTAGGCTACGAAAATCCCAGGCACACCCACCGGGAGGGCTGGGGCCCTGAGCCGGGGATGAATGCCGTTTACCAATGTAAAACAGGGAAAGTGTGTGGCAGAAGTGCTCAATAATCATCTAACAGCCCCGAAATGCAGAGGTTTCAGGGAAACATTTCTGTTATCCAGTTTTACCCCTTCCCAGTCTTGCCTGCTGTGACGGGAAATTGCTGTTGAGTTTGGATGCGTCCCTCCAGTGTTTCGGGGGAGTGCTGTGTGATCCAGGGAGCTGCTCCACCAGCCGAGGTTAGTGCGAGCAGACCTACGACCCCATGGCGCTTTGCACGGTGCAGTTGGATGGGAGCGATGGCTGACTGCCACTGCCAGCCGGTGTGATCGGATGCTAATGGCTACTTCGTTGTTGCTGGGCAAGCAAATTGGCTTTGTTTTGTTTCCCCTAATAAAGGATGCATGAACTTTTTGTGTTTAACCTCCTTATGCAACTGCAGCACAGTATTGCACCACAGGGAATAGATTTAGGACAATGAAGAGTGTTCAGTGAACAGTAATGGAGCTTCCTGATCGTTGATCTCCACTAAATAGAGAGATATTACTTTCCCCTTTATTTTGTGCCTTTAAAAAAACCCCAACAAACCAACAGTGTATAATTTTGAGTTTTATAAAAGCAATAAGATGTTCCAAATCACTCCAGTGCATTTCTGGTTGATGACTCCACTTCTTTAGTGTCTGAAGTCAGATACTCTTCCTTCTGCCTTATGCACTCAAGGCATGCAATAATTCCCCAGAAGTGTACTGCTTGTCACATCTCATTGCAGTTATAAAATTGCCCTATTTTTGAAGAAAAAAAAAGAAGGCTGGAGAGATATATATATATCTATATATATCTTTATATATATTACGGATATATGGGTATATATATTATTTATATAATCTCATGACGCTAAAAGTAGTTGCAAAATTGTAACTAGAATTAAAATATGTTATGTAAAACTATCCTCTGTTAATTAGCTTTGATTTAATATTTTAATATTGCTGTATTTATGTAAATCTGTGTAAATTATGTGGTCTCTAAGTAAAATTTCATACTGACTTCAATTTTCCCAGAACTGTGAGCTTCTTGTGGTGTCATTTAAGGTTTTGCATTTCTAAAGTTAAATTATACAAGATATGAGAAGTTATAAATTTCTATTATCTCTCAGAAATACCGCAATAATGTTCATGCATACTCCCAATACACAATCCTATCTTGAAGTATGAGGTTTAATTGAATGGTCTCAGGAGGTCTAGCTGATACGAGCAGGACACGTAGGTTTTCATTTTCATGAAACAATAAGCAATCAAGGGAATAGATGTGGATTTTTAAAACAGAGTTTATGCTTGGAGGTTCTGTCAAATCAATTGCTTCAAAACCCTACAGCTACAGCTAAACTTCTGCACTTAGCATTCAGTATTAATAAGGCTGATGCTTCTTTCCCATCCCCCCTCCTACTTAAAATAGAAAAGTGTAGGAAATTGTTCATATTTCTAAAGCATACATTTTCAGCTAACTGTGAAACTGCCCAAAGGGTTTTGAATATACATATTTTATGCAAGTGTAATATCTATGTATCTGTACCCATATATTTAAATATTTTTGTGTAACCTTTTCTACGATATTTGATAGAGATGCCGGCTCAATGCTTGTACCATTCTCGTACATAAGGAAGGATTTATACCCTCTCGATGTGGACGTTCTTTTTCCTGTGAATTTGCACTTGTTTTAACAAGTTACGTTGGATCCCAGGCAGCTGAGTGCCGACTGCTGGGAGCACGGACATTCTTTCCTCTGTGAAGGGGCACGTCCTGCGCCTGGATTTTCTAGTTCTGGATAAGAAATTGGGGCTGGTTGCCCACTAGCATCCTGCATGTGTAAGAATAAGAAGTGCTGTGGCACTCAACAGCTCCTGTCCAGTCCAGGTGTGGTCCCGTGCAAGAAGCAGGACAGCAGTGACTTGTTTTGTAGCTCTGAGAACTGAGAGCTCACCAGGTGATGTGGTGGCAGCGCTGGGACTGGATCGGAGATTTGGCAATGCCTCATCCTGCACTCCCATCCTCAGAGCCTGCTGCTGCCCTGGGGCTTCGTCCAGCTCCTGCTGGCATCAACAGAACTGGCTTCCACTGACTGCCAAGGACCTGGATCCCATCTGGAGTCCACATGGACGGTGACAGCTCTCCATATCACCACCACTGGCCCTGCTCTGCTCTCTTCCCGTCAGCCTCTGGAGGGACGGAAACCACAAGGACTGGGATGCTTCAGCATCAGCAGCACTGGGGACCCGACAGTGCTGCCATCAACTCCGCTATGCTCCTATGGACCAAGACGTTCAGGTTTCCACGTGGGTCCTCTGTGGATCATGGACAGGGAATGTCATTTCATTAAAAGGTGTCATTCCAGCATTTTTTTTCAGTGGGGGTTTGTCTACTGCAAATGTAGTCTCATGTGAAATTTGCAGGCTCTCCATCCACACATGTTTTGGCGTTTGATACATCTCTCTCAGACATATATCTGTATATATAGATATATATCTCAAAAAAATGCTGGACAAAAAGCAAAGAGCAGAGACTCCACATGAGAGACAAAACCGTCCTATGACTAAAAACTGGGGTTTTTTTTGCTTTTATTCTTAATTAGTTTTAAAGGCTAGTATCTTTAATGTAAATAGCAAGTTACTATGCGATTAATGTTTTCCACAGCATTTCTGAGTAGTTGCTATCTTGTTTCTGGAAAGCTATGCCTAGTGTTTTGAAGCAACTGTGCTTTTCTTCTATTGTTATGAATATGAGTGCAACTTTTATGTAGGGAGAAAAAAGAACATGATTTGGCTCTTTAGACAGGTCTGTATTATCTTAAATCCAGTTATAGGACTTGGGTTTTTTTTTTCTTTCTAGTGGTTATTCTCTCTGCACGTTTGTATTTTTTCTATGGGTACTTGAAACCCTACATTTTAATAAGTATGCAAGATATGAAAGGAAACATGAAAAATGAAGTAGAAAACATTATTTTTCTTCTTTTGTGTAAATATCAAAATTTATAATGACTTAGATACCATTGATTACATTTGTCATCTACATAGAAGTTGGCATGACTCATATAGGAACCTTTAATAATGCTTTCATTGATGTTGAAAGGTAGAACTACGTTTATCAAGGACTGACTTTCTCATCTCTTTCTGATATCTAACTCTTTTTTTTCCCCCTGAAGCCAAGTTTTCCATCTGATTGCTAAATAAATTTCTAGTAGAACAGAGCCTCCAGAGCCTCCTTCTGTTTTTAGTCTTTTGCAAGTAGGTCTCTGGTCTGGATCCAGCCAAACTCAATAGTGTAGAAAGTGTGTTACGAACTTGTAAAAACTGTGTGGTGTATGATGAGCCTTGGGGAGAGAGGTGCCTGACAAGTGGATGGGTAAAGTGCCTGGCAATGGTAATCATTAGCTTTCCCATTTGGAGTTACAGAAATGAAG